TTTTCAGGCCTGCATTTCTGCCGCTCTCAATACCAAGATCTCTCTCTGAGCAACTTCTTAAATTACATTCAAACCCTCCTGCCTTCTTTATAAGCCAGGTAAGAGGGACGAAACAACTAACGCATGACATACACAAAAGATGTTCGTTTTAGTTTATCTGGTATCTTATGCGAAATGGAGAAGAATTTCAGAAAGCATTGGATGAACAAGTTTCAGCCATACGATTTGGAAAAGGTGGATCAACTTTCTTTTCAATAAGATGAAACGAAAGGTCTTTTTATCGCTGCTTCACCATAGGGCGTAGTAACGTTTGGGCAAGCTGCTTTTGGTGAACTAGTACCTCGCCCAAATGTGAACAAATTTTCCCAAAATTCAGCTTAATGACTTTTTCGCAAGAGATCAATATATGTCACAGGTTTAGTTCGATCACAGAATTTGAAGAAACCAAAAAATGCTTGTTGAAAAAATAACCGTACTAATAATCGCTGTTGTTTCAACCATCTATTTATAATTTAGTCTCCGCAATTTTTTATGAGAGTACTATTATAAACTGTAAAACATAACTGATGGTATAAACTCATTTAACCCTAAAAGAAGTATTTCTTATTTTTTCCGCTCAGAACTAATATTGTAATGCTTCGAAATTCGCTCACTCCCTAGAACTTTGCGCAGTTGCATCAGTTGTTAATGTAATACGCAGGACGGACTCTAAAATCTTGGAAACTAAAGCTTGGGTAGATGCCACATAATCTAAGCCATATCCAGCTCGAGCACAAGCTTTCTGCAGACTAGAACCACTTTGCGGCTCCACAGCTTGGCTTAAATGGCTCGAATTGTCTGCAAAGGCATGAAATAGACACAGCATTGTCCATAAAAGGCGAACCATCCCATGCTTCTACGTATTCGCTCATATGAACAACTCGCTTAGTCAAAGCTCGAGCGACAGAAGAGTATGACGAGGTGTGGAGTTTATCTCTACACCTAGGATGAAGTCTTGTCTATATTATTTATCAGATGGTAGTTTAGCCGCAACTCCGAGTCAAGCTG